GGCTTATACTGAGTACAATATTGTATAACTGTAATAATTCAACTGTAAACCTAAAAATGTACAGCCAGTTTTGTAAGAGATGCATCCTAGCTCAGAAAATTGTTATTGAATATGTCAATGCTGATGTAATGAAATGTTTTTTCTAAGTGTGTGGTTATTAAATAACTAAAAATTAATAATAATAAATAAAATATTTTTTTAAAAAAAGAATGTCATGCTGGGCATGGTGGCACACACCTTTAATTCCAGCACTTGGGAGGCAAAGGCAGGCGGATCTCTGTGAGTTTGAGGCCAGCCTAGTCTACATAGAGTTCCAGGCCAGGTAGAGCTACAGGGTGACCCTGTCTCAAAAAAACAAACAAACAAAAAAGAATGTCATATCTAACTCTGTATCATATATCCTTCTCCTGAGCTCCAGATTAAATCTGGTTCCAACATCAGAAGCACCTATAGAAATTTGAAGTTTGGTAGGTCTCTTTCCAACTCCAAAGCAGGAAACTAGATTAAATTACAACGTAATAAGCCTGGCATATAGTAGGTATTTACTAAATAAAGCTATCCCAATAATGACAATACATTTTCTGGACTTAACTGGTCTGACAGGTTTGGGAATTATGAACCACAGAGTAATCCACCTCAGAGAACTCCTTCCTCTCTTAACAAATAGTATCATCAGCCATTCAAATTATCTTGGATATATCTGATGCTGAACTTCTTTTTCATTACTTTATACCCCCGCTCCCCCCAAACCCAGGGTCTTTCAATTCTTGGCAAGTGATCTACCACTAATTAATTACCCAGTCCTTGAACTTTTCTTATTTTGAGATAGGAATTCAATAGCAGTCCAGCCTAACCTTGAATTCACAATCCTCCTAGCTCAGTTTCCTGAGTGCTGGGATTACAGACCTGTGCCACCATGCCTGGTATTTGTCTGTTTTTACTGTTTTATTTACTACTGTATCTCCTGTTCTAGAATAGACACACATTAGGAGCTCATTATATCAATGCTGAATGAATAAGCCTACAAATAGCTAAGCATTTTAACTTCACATGATAAAAATGAGTCTTTCCTCTGCAATGCCTGCCACCACGTAAGCTCTTTACAAGAAAGTTATGGCTAAGTAAAAGGGAGACAAAAATTATGAGAAAAGTTGTTTACAACAAAGGGTTGTAATCAAAGAGTGTGAGCTCTCGGAGTTTAAGATTTCAGAGATTCAGCATTTATCTACGTACCTACGTGTCTCTCCAGCAGGGAATGGTGGCAGTCCACAGAATTTAAAAGCAGGTTTTGGACCTGGATAGACTTAGATTAAACCCTGGCTGTGTCAGTACTAGTTGGAAGGCTTTAAGCAACATCTTTGCACCCATTTCTTCACCTGTAAAATGAGACTAACTGCATCTACCTCAACAGAACATTAAAAATTTAAAAATACAAATGTAACATTACGTGGGACATAGCTCGTCAAAGAGAAGCTAATTAAGTTTCCTCAGCCGCTCCGTCGTCCTCTACCCCACTACCCCTAGTTCTCCAAGACCACGCCCCCACTTGAGGCTCCACCCCCTTCGGGGCTCACCTAGCTACCCCAGCCCACCCGAAGCCGGCGGTCCTGCTCAGTACCTGACCCATAGCGCACGTCATGAGAGTGCAGTCGGACGTTATGGCGCGTATTGAGAAGCTTCACCACGGAGCCGCAAGTAACGACAGCCATACTGGACGCTCCCACAGCGCTCCAAAAACCACCCAACAACAGAAGCTGCACGACAGCCATCCTGGATCCGAGAGCCCCTAAGTGGCCAAGAAAACTTGACCCTTCCCCGGAACCGGAAGCCGTAGGCGGAACGACGGCGAGAAGGAAGTGAAGAAACCTTAACCTGAATCTATTGTTCCCCTGGCTAGAGCGGCGTAAACAACAGGCAGGGCCGCGGAGCCTTCGGGCCCCCGCTTGTCCTGGGGGCTCTGCGCACCCGAAGGACGTTCAAGCCTTCGCACACGCAGGACGACAGTCCCAGAGATAGGGGGCAGATGTGAGCAAGCAGTGGCCCGCCCACTCCCAATGACAGGGAGCCGGAAGTGACGTAGCACGCTCACGCGGCGGCGGCGGGGCCGTGCGGTGTGTCTGGACTCTCCTTTCCTAGTCTCGGTTCACCGACTCCATTTTCTTCCGTGGGGGCATAGCGCCCCGCAGAACCGGCGGCCCTCAGGCAGGTAAAATTCAGCTCAGACAGTGCGTTTCCCGCGTGGGGCAGGTGGCGAGCCGGACCCCGAGACCTGGACCCGTAGGGGAAGAGGCATTGGGGTGGCTTGCGGGAAGAAGGGGGGCCCTGACCGTCCCTTCTCTGCGGGAGGAGAGGAAAGCCGGGTGGTGAGCTCGGTCGCCAAGTCCTTCCTAGCGCAGCACCACCCGAGCGTGTGAGCTGGGCTTGCCTATGAATCAACAGGCTTTCTGGGCTTGGGAAAACTGGCCACGCGAAAAATTGGGACTAGAAGAGACGTAGTGTTTTTTACTTGTCCTTAGATGTTCGGATTAATTATTCCACGGGTTTGAATTCTATTGGGCTTTCTCAGCAGTTCAGCTTTGAGGCTGGTGGACTGTGCTGAATTTTAGCTCTTCTCATAGTATTGAATAATTGAACTTTTTGTGGATGGCTTGCTCCCCTTATCCCTTTCTAAAATTTGAGAGTTCTTGTGCTACCTGAAGCCCCGCCATCCTCCGTAATTCATTTCCTCAAACGCTTGGCTGGCAAAGACCTACCGTGAACATCAGAATGAGTTGTCAAGTCCAAACTTTATCTTGTGGTTTGGACCTTTTTCACCAGGTACTCAAATTAGCTGAAGCAGTTCGTTTCCCTGGGTTATCTCAAGAACCGATGCCTATTTTCCTTGAGGAGGCAGCTTAAGGTCTCCTATAGTACTTATGTGGAAAGTTACTGTAATGTCAAAATTGCAAGGATAGTATTTTTCATTCCCCTCCTCCAGCCCTGCTGATCCCGTTGTTCACATCTAACCCCCCCTTTCATTTTTTGTGTGTGTGTGAGTTTAATTAAGGTTGTTTACAGGAACATGGTGAAGGCTTATTTACAAAGGCACCTTACCAGTGGCTACAACACTAATTTGTCTCCCTCCCCACAGCAACCATTAGAACTGCTGTAGATCCTCAGGATCGGTGAGAACCCCTTGAGCCCCTCCCCCCCCCTCC